TCAATTTGGATTCAACACAAAACAAATGTATGAATCCAACGAAAGAACTGTCTCGCAAAGAAAGGAACGCGTCCCACAAAGAAAAAAAAGGCCACTCAAGCACTCATAGATCACGAACCCCCAACGTGGGGACCACCCAAAGCATAGTTATGCAATCCAAGAATGTGGATGTGGCGGTATCATCACAGTTTATACATATCGAATAAATAATAAACATATGAACGGATTCGATAGGTTCTGTGTGTGCGCATGTGAAGTTTAAAAAATCGCAGACTAACAACCAACGAGCACCAAATATCGACAATGTACGGGGGGTTGTAAATCACAAGGGACGAGAAGAATAACGTAGGCGGTGGGATGTTGGAGAACCACAAAGGGAAGGGGTAGAGGCATGTGAGCAATTTCGAGTGTACAGAAATATTAACGACTACTAGTTCGATGGAACTTTGATACATACAACATAACGAAAGCCGAAGTCATGGCGTCGAGCTGGTCGGGAGACCAATGGGGTCCAGGGTACCTACCATCAGTGATCAAATCTCTGCAGTTTCAAGCATTCACCAAGTAATAACATTCCTCTACTTGCCGGCAATGCAGTAAGATATGAAGATGAAGTTCCACCCGAGTTTCAATGGCTGCAATGGAAACGGGCTGCGAAACTCGCCACGCTAGCTAGCTGTCGCGATTCTTAGCTAGTTGTCGCAGAGACTAACCATGAATTAGTTTTGATTTCATGATTTATCAGTTGGCTAGTCGAGCAAAACTTCGGTATCGGACGGAACTTGAACCCGTACTTGTGCTTTCTGGGCATCGTACCCTTTACCCCTCACCCTACCTAGACCCCACTTGTCCTCTCTTCCTAATGGCTTTTGTCCACAGCTGACCATCCATTGACTCAGCCCGTGCACTCTCTCCGATGCTAGAGTCCAGCTCAAGTGGAATCCCAATAGCTAACAACCAAGCACCCTTGAACACCAGGGGCCGTACTTGGGCCTCCCGACGTCACACCTCAGGTCGCTGCTGTTAGCTGATTACGCTATGTGCCCGAACTCTAGTAAAAATGAAACAAAATGCTATTGTGTATGTACAACCCAGTAGTTACCCAGTAATGGCATTCCTACAAATCATTACGATTTCCGAAGGCAACGAACATTTTCTGCTCTTCATAACCTCGTCGATTGTTGCATATGATGGGATCGGAGGAAATTCAGGTTCACATAGGTAGGATCTCGAATTTCACCGCCACCACCATCGCTAGGCGAACCGGCACCTCCGCTATCCATAGCAGCGGCCAGGGTAGATGCCATTTGGTCTCCACGCATTGTTTGAAATACGTCACTGACTACCATACTGTCACCGGTACCGTACTCGTTGTAGTCGGCAACCTGAATAAGGAAGGTTTAGGCGGTGCCCAACTAGTCCTGGAAAATGCATACCGGTGGCGCTGGAGCCAATTCAGTTGGTGGTGCGTCAACCTCTTCCCCAATGCAGTATCCTCTCCGCCGAAGTTCCTGATCAAGGTGATAACTGAAAGATATCAGGTTTTGAAGGATCTATGTATCCACTTATAGACTTACTTACCTGTACTGGTGGAAGCGTTGCCTAATCTGCCATTGGTACTGCTTCTCTTCCATTCGAAGAATACGGAGGAAGTTGTCCAATTCGGGAACTTCGAACGCATCCCACTGAAGAAAAATGGATTTAGTTGTTGATATGTCAGAAGATAACCACTTTTCCCAAAGTTCTGTCCAACTTGTTGATTAGGAAACTTGGGATGGGCCATACAGCTCAGGGTAAGGTTGCTAATAGTCAAGGAGTAAAAGTTGATAATTGAGAAAAGAATTTGCTTCTCGGTCCCATTCCTAGACTAGTGCCGATGGAAGTTCCACTGAATGGGATTGGAAGCGAGTTGGAAGCAACTAATGGGATGTTTGTTATGCGACAAACTTATTCACTTGCTCATTATGCTGAAAAAACGAGAGCGACTTCGAGTTATGTAAACAAATTGCTACAAAAACAAGACATACTCCCAGCAGTTATTCCAGAACTTTCTGAATAGGTTTCGAAAACAACGAATAAACGTAAAACAAAGCTCGTACAAGTATGATGATCAAAGTTTTTGAAATCAGAGCTGAGAATGAGTTTGGGGTATTATTTTCCTTCACAGACCCTAACACAATCCCAGTTTGGAATTGAAAACCCTACCCCACCTTTTCTCTTCCCCATCTCCCGTTCTAACCCTTCCCCAAGACGCATACGCAAGTACGCCGAGCGACACTCAAGACCTGAAAGTTGCGCATCCAGTTCGTCGAATAGGGGACCACTTGCTCACTGGGATCGTAAAATTCACCGACTCTCGTTTGCCATAAGTTTCTCTCCGTATAGTGGTCACATTCTCTACAAATCTCGGCTTTCCATTCTCGGTGCAGACCTCCGTTATTCGGCTGACAACCGGGATTTACAAAAACAGTAGGCTGACGTTTCGGACGGAAGCCACTTAGGAATCTAGTTTCCTAAATGGCCTTCGTCTTTTCAGACTTCAACGAGTGCAAAAACGCTGAGGCATCAGCTCAATAAAATTGCTGCTGTAGGTAAATCTCTGTCGTTAGCTGACATTGCGTGTATAGTTGGCCCTGCCCACATGTCCAGACTGATTCCTGTTCTCATTATGATGCTACTTTTTTAGACTGTGTGCAATCCTCTTTGGGCTATGGGTTGAGATGGATGTTTACTGCTAAATTGGACACAGACAACTACACATGCACGTCATCGCTAGAACATCAAGACCAGACAGTACACGTGGCTAGTTGACAAAATAAAACCTCCCCCGCATCCTCTCAGGGGACAATAAGCCCTTAGCTGTTCAAGGACTAAGGTAAGTGATTGACAACCTGACGAATGACAACTAAACCTACACGGGGACATGAGAAAGTGTGACCTTTCCCTTTTCCAGTTAGATGATAAAGAATGTACTACCATTTGTAAATCATAAATTATAAAATCTCCAGCAAACGATACTAGTCAGGGGCGGGCCAGTACTGCGGGAGATCCTCCTAACCTCGATTCTATGTGTAAGAGATTGCAGATATAAGAAAGAGGTATGTGAGTTTTGAACCCAGGCCAACATCTGAATTAAGGAGTTCTACAGTTAGGTAGACCTTGCCCAGATTCGGTATTTGTTTCTATGCTGTTATCTCTAGTACAACAAGAAGTAGGAGAAGGCTAGGCCGGTTTGTCTTTTCTGAACTATCTAGCCGCCGTTCTTCTCTGACATCATCCTCCCTCAACAGAAGATATATTCTTTAGCCGTTAACAGAAGGTTGTCTTTGGGAACTTGGGATCGTAGGAGGTGGAACCCAACCTACGATTTAGACATCAAAATATATTAATATCAAAATATAAACTAACCAAGATGTCACCAGTATCGTTCTCCTGTAGTACAAGAGCTCGTCCACATTTGGCGCTCTGCCAGCTGAGTACAACCTTCAGTGGACAGACGTCGTCTGATATCCGAGTCAATTTCCCTGAAATATCTAGACATTTAGCCCAATATGGAATATCTTGGTCGATGCTTTGGTCATGGAAATGCTGAAGCAATAAAGATCAAGCGGGACTAGCGTGCACGTCATGAGATAATTGCCATCATTTGGCTGAATTTGATGGCTGACCACTCCGAAAAGCTATGGTCCCTCCCCTACCCACTCCCTATTCTATGACTGGTGTTCGCCTTCATTCATTTTCCCATGCTCCACTCTTACCCATTTACTTGGAGCTCGACGTTAAGGTGTTTGATCAACACTAAGCAATGTTATTGAGGATGCACATGGCTGAGCACCTGTTTGTCCTTTTCACAGTCACAACTGTCTAAACACCCA